TTGTTTTTATAGTACTAGTGAATTTGGAGCCGAGTGGTTGGATGAAAAAAAAAAATAGAGCCAAAATTGGTTGTAATACGGTGGTAGTTGAGCCGAGTTTAATGCTAATTAATATTGTACGTTGTCCCCAATAATCATGCAAGCAAGCTGTTCTCATACCAAAATAGGAGTACTCTTTTAGTAAATCTACGTACTTTGGTAGATTTATTTACTACGTAGTCAGTTGATTATTGTCTCGGATCTACGTTGAAATTAAGTTTATATGTTTATGTATATATATGCTTGTAGCTAGTCATTTAGAGATGCCATGTATATATATAAATATATGTTAGCTAGGACAATAGAAGATACATAATATAAGTTCATGAACATGATTTTTTTTTAATTTTTGACATATATGAAAGGTGGTGAGGTAGAAAACAGTCCATGTCTCGTGATAATTAATAATTGAAAAAGAGTGTTTAATGTTGCCCTATGCTATTTAATACTCCTCGATCGTGACAGGCCACTCTCAACATAGTTACGTATGCAACATATAAGAGCCGCTTAAAGAAAATTTGATTCGATTGGCTTCACATATATATATATATAGGTAGCAACTCAATATAATTAAATAAAACTGATTTTAATTGATTGGTTAGTTAAATTAAGTTGATTTTAAATAAAAGTAAATTGAGTGAAAGATTGCATGAGATTTAAATTTTTATTGTAATAAAATTTAAAATTTAGTGATTAAAGTTGATGTGATCTCATTATTTTAATCAACGCAATCACACATATATACAAACACCTATATTGATCGAACAATTAAAAACTCAACAAAAATATTTATATACGTATGGTGTAGGGTGCAGTTCATTGTTCAATCGCAGTGTATTTATCTATTCTCTCCTTAAATCCTATTTAGGATAACAAAACCCTTCTTCTAAAGCAAGCCAATGTTAATAATTATAAGTAAGAAAAATTGAAGTGAAATATAATGTGCTAGCTAGCCATTTGAGCTTTTCATTTGATTAATTAACAAATCAAACATTGCTTCCTTAAAAGTACTTTAAATGCCAATTAATCATGAACCTAGCTAACAACTAACATGTGTTTATTATTCTAAATATAGTAGGTGCAAAGCAATTATATAGCCTGATTGTCAATATATGAATAGTAGTA